TCACTCTGTTTAATTGGGGGGGGGGCACACAAATTGATCTCCTGCCAAGAAATGTGAACTTTAGGCTCATAACATCACCAACTCAATGGACTAACAATGCAGAAAAAAAAATAAATTTAAATTTAACAAGAAGAATATGATACTACTAATATTTATAAGGCAGGCAGAACAAAGATAGTAAAATAGGAGGAAGCAGGAAGCAGGAAGTAGAGCTCTCCTTCACAAAACACCTCCAAATCAACCTAGAAAATGTACCAAACTGAATCCTGATAGGAAAAAACAGAAAAAGTCACAGTGAGTCATTAGTCTAGCCCAGCCTGGCATAGTATCTCTTTGGAGATAAGAAGGTATGAGAACACTGGGGACTAGATTGGACCAAGAGCAGAAGCACACTGTAGAGCACTCCAGCACACAGGGAAAGACTGCACACCAGGATGACAGGCCCTCCCAGACCCATACCTGGGCATCTCAAAGAGCAGAGACAGCAGGCTCTGCAACTCACTACCCAGTTATGGGTCACAAGTCCAAGGCAGAGTGGCAGGGGACCTGCGCCCAAGGTGGCCTTCCAGGCCATGTATAAGAACAGAAGAACTTCAGAAGCAAGCAGTAACAGTATGGCTCAGCCCCTAGGAGCAGAGAAGGTTGTCAATTTCAGCATTTAGCCTAGCTTGTGGAGGAATACCAAGGCAGGAAACCCAGACAAATGGAGAACATGCAATTCTGTCACTCTGAGCCCACAGACTGCCAGCTGGATGAGAGTCCGACTCCACAAGCGATCTACTATAGTTCAAATCCAAAAACCCAGGTCAGAAACTTGCAGAGCTTAGACTAGGTGGAAGCAATCTGACTTGGCCCTGAATCAGACTACTTGGAAGGACTAGATGCTTGCACAGGGCATACAGGTGAAGGCATACAGTGTCAGGCCTGAAGTAAGGAAAACTCATCATCCTAAATTCAAATCTTGCCTCAGGCACTTATTAGCTGTGTGACCCTAAGCAAGGCACTTAACCTTGTTTGCCTCAGTTTTCTCATCTGTACAATGAGCTGGAGAAGTAAATGGCAAACCACTCCAGTATCTTTGCTGAGAAAAACCCAAATGAGATCACAAAGAGTTGGACACGACTGAAAAACAACTAAACACCAGAAGCTTGCATATCCCCAACCCATCCCTGAGATTCTCGAATAACACAACACCCCAAGAAAGCAGCAAAAAGACTAACCCAGATTTTCCTTCCAGAAGTGCCACAGAGCCTAGACCTAACATCAAGTCCGAATTCAGACAGTAGGCTAGAAGAATGAGCAAACAGAAAAAGAAAGAAAGAAAGAAAACCGCTGTTAAGTGCTATTATGGTGGAAAGGAAGCTCAAAACACAAACTCGGAAGAGAATGACTCTGAAACCTCTAAAAGCAAAGCCTCCAAGAAAAACACCGCTTGGACACAAAATCAATCAAAATTCCTGAAAGAGATGAAGCAAAAGCTTTAGGGAAAAAAAAAAGACATGCTTTTTTTTATATATAAATGAGAACATGAGGGAAAAAATGGAAAAGAACTGAGACATATGTAAGAAAGAATTGGAAAGGAAGTTAAAAGCTTGAAAAAAGAGGTACACAACTTTGCCAAAGCAACTACCTGAAAATGGAATGAGCAAATACAAGCCATTGTCTACATGAGACATAATACATATCAAAACAAAGCAAAAAAAAAATACAAAAAAATAAGATGTTTCATACCTTAAACACATGATCCAGACAAAAAAAAGAAGAAATTTAAGAAGTACTAGACTATCAGAACACTATACCCTCCAAAAAAAAGTCTAGAAGTCCTATTTCAAGAAATTTTAAAAAAAACTTTCCAGATCTCTTAGAACCAGAGGGCTAAGTAGGTGTAGAAAAAACACACCAGTCACTTCCTGAATAAAACCTCAAAAGGAAAAACTCTCAGCAACATCACAGTCAAAATCCAGGGCTTCAAGGTTAAAAACAAAACTAAACCTGCAAGCAACCAGAAAGAAAAAATCCAAGAACCAAGGAGCCACAGTCAGGATCACACGTGATTTAGCAGCCACTATAATAAGGCAGGGGAAAAGTTGAATACAATATTACAGAAAGCAAAAGATATAGACTTAACAGCCAAAAATGACTCTCCCAGAAAACCTGAATATAATGCTATAAGATAAAAAAAAATGGACCTTTAATGAAATAGAGGATTTCCAAAAATTCCTGATGAAAAGAGGGGCATTAAAACATTGATGCTCCAACACAGAAGAGAAACATTAAAAGGTAAAATGAATGAAGAATGATGAGGACTAAAGGATAAAGTGCTTGCATTCAAATATGGAAGGTCATACATGTGTTCCATTTGAACCCTATATTATCAGCATCATGGATAATGGAGGGAGCCTAATTAGACAGGGCCTGTTAGTGGTTCTGTTATAGCTTGATGATCTTGGAAGAAGAAATTAAAGAAAAGGAAAAAGGAATACTATGGAGAGTAGTGAGAAAGGGTGAGAAGGTTGGAGAAATATGTCTCACATAATCAAGATACAAGGGAGACAATGAATAGGAGTTACGGGAGTAGCTGATACTTCAACCTCACTCACTCTACATTGACTGAAGGAAAGAAGAATATAAACATATACACATATATACACACACATATGCATATATATGTATATATACATGTATATGCATGTATGTGTGTACATATACATATACATACACACACACACATACACACAGAACTATGTACAAATACATTTCACTGAACAAGGCAATGTGAGGGAAAGTGAAGAAGGGGAGAGAAGGAATTAGTGGAGGATAGATTAAGGGAGGGATTAGAGCTAAACAAAACAAACCCTAAAAAAACCCTAAGGATGTACCCCCAAAAAATTTACAGCTCTTTAAGCTGACAAAGAATAAGAATCTGAGGGACTATCCCTAAATTGAGGAATAGATGTACAATTTATGGTATATAATAAATGTGATGGAATACTAGTGCTATAAGAAATGATGAAAGAGATGGTTTCAGAGAAACTTGGGAAGACTTATATGAACAAATACAGAGTTAACAGAACCAGCAGAACCATTTATACAATGACAACAATATGACAGAGTCAAAAAATTTTGAAAGAATTAGGAATTCTTATCAATGTAATTACTAATAATTATTCCAGAGGGCTATTTCCCTGAAACTGCTAGTTCCTCCCCATAAAAAAAGAATTTACCTTATTTATTTTGTTTATATGTTTATATATACTTATTTATGTATGTGTTGTCTCTCGAGACACAATACATGCTCTTTAAAGATGGAGACTATTTCATTTTTGTCTTTGTATGTCCAATGTTTATTTAATGCAGTGACTGGCACATGTCAGGCACTTAATAAATGCTCAATGAATGGTTTATTTTCCTCTGCCTTTGACCTCTTTGGGGTACATGCCCAGTACTAGTAATGGTGGGTCAAAAGATATGAACAATTTAGTCACTTTCACCAATAACTCCCAGCGTGTTGCAGAATAGTTAAAGAAATCCAAAGATCCACCAACAATGTAATGTATTAACGTGCCTGCCTTCTTACAGTTAATACACCTTTTTTCACTGCCATATCACAGTGTTAACTTAAAATCAACTTGCAGCTCACTAATACTCATAGATGTTTTTCAAGTCAACTTCTCTGTAGGCATATCTATCTTGTACTTGTAAACATGATTTTTTTTCATTCATCATTATTAAATTTCATCTTCTTTGATTCAGTCCAGTTCTAGCTCATCATGAGCTTTTGGGATCCTTATTCTTTAATTCAACGTGTATGGTGTCCCTGCTAGCTTTCCACTGCACACAAATACAATAAGCATGATAATCATGCCTTTATCCAATTCACTGACAAAAATATTAAAAAGCGCAGAGCTATGTGCTATATTACTATTTCATCTTCAAAATGGAATTATTTACCTTGAAACCTCACAATGATAACATAAGAATAGATTTAAAATTATCTTCTAGAAATAAAGTAAATCATTTAGCTTATCTAGGAGAATAAAATATTTTTTTAAAAATATAATAACAGTAGGAAACCTCATTTTTGTATTGTTTTTTGTTGTTGTTGTTGTTTTTGGCTAGGCAGTGGGGTTAAGCGACTGCCCACGGTCACACAGCTAGTTAAGTGTTATAGGTCTGAGCCCGAATTCAGGTCCTCCTGAATTCAGGGCTGGTACTCTATCCACTGCACCACCTACCTGCACCCATTTTTGCATTGTTTTAAGATTTACATATCATTTTACACATAACCTTGTGAAGTTAGGCAACAAAGTATCATTCATTAGGTAGCCTAGTAGATAATATGGCAGGAGCTGGTGTCAGGGAGATCGGAGTTTAAATCCTACCTCAAGCACTTACTGTGTGTTCCAGGGCAAGTTATTTAACCTTGTCTGCCTCAGTTTCCCCATGTGTAAAATGAGAAAATAATACCACCTACCTCATAATGCTGCAAAGATCAAATGAGACAATGTATATAAAATGCTTTATAAAGCTTAAAGTGCTATAAAATGTTAGCTATCATTATTGTTATTACCCCCATTTTACACATGAGGAATGTTAGGCCTGAATATACTAAATAACCTGACTAAGATCACAAAGTTAGTATCAGAGCTGGGAAAGTGAATCCAGTTATTCTGACTGCAAATCCAATGCTCTCTCTGCTACTCTAAGCTATCTCAATGAATATCTGGAGTGAAAGAGTTACAGGACTAATGGACTAGCATGTAGAATGCAATCCACAATGTTTAGGGGTGAAATGCCCCCAGATTTGGTAAGGATAAGTGTGTGTATGAGTCAAGGTGAATATATCATGTGATTAATAAATAAGAAAGCTATTTCTACCATCATTAATATCACTTATTCCCCCTCTCAAAGAGCAAAATATATTACCATTGTTTGTGAGCAATGATTGATTGTTCATAGGTACAATAGCATCTGAGTACAAGAGGATCATGCCAGCTTACCTCATATTCTTTTCTAAGTAATTCCTCTCGGGAAGAGCTTGATTCGAGTTCACTTGCTTGTCGCCGTAGAAGGTTAGAGCAATCAAGGTGCTCTGATTCTAGTTTTTCCATTTTCTTATGCATATTTTGTATAGCATTATCTTGTTCCTATAAACAAAAGAACTATGTAGTTAAATTTAAACAAAAAGGGGCATGGGATTTAATAAGCGAATATATAGTTGGAATAACAATACACATCTAATATGGTTCATGTGGTCTCAACATAAGTTTCAGTCTATAAAGTGTCATCACTGTACGTTAACTTTGAAAATGTGTTTAGCATATATATTATTAAGTCATACTCATTAAATGGACCTTCATGAATATTTCTGTGTTTCTTTAACTTTACTATCCTGTACAATGTTTGTTTACCTCATTAATTTCTAAAAGTATTTAATAACAAAAATACATAAGTTTCTTTCATGTGAAGATTGACTGGATTAGCTGGATTTCCTGGTGGTACCTGAGAGATTTTACTATGAAATCATGGCATTTAAAGTATGTTTACAGTTTTTGATGTAATTTTCATAGTTTATTTCCTCCTTAATTCCAAGTTTTCAGAAAACTAGTGCAGGACAGGAAAAGCATTTCAAGTAGGGTCTACTTAATTCTTCCAAAATTCAATTTTAGGCCATATCAGTTACCATCTAAATTTAAAATGACTTCCCTTTTCCAAGGATCCATGATTTCAATGACATAACTCTTCTAGTGACACCAATTATAAGCCTTCTACAACTTAAGTAGGCCATTTTTTTAATTATGAACTTAACCATCAACAAATACAAACATTTAAAATATACAAAGCAGGCCAAGATAGAGATTTGGCAAGAAATTTTGAACTTCTACACAAAACCTTTTATAATTTTGTGTCCAAAAAATAACCACCCTCAGGCAAAATTGGTGATAAACCTCCCCAACTTTAAATAGGCTGAACCTCAAACAACAAACACACAGTCAGTCCTGGACTTACACTCAAGGTTTTCCTTCCAGAGCTTGTACCAACTGCCTTTAAGAACCCAGGGTCACTTCCATGACACAGTGGAGCAACTAGACTAAGACTTTAGGGGAGTGAATGTGAAAATAAGTTATATAAGAAGTAGTTATATGATAAATGGAGGAAAAAGTCAGGCTCAAAATAATAAACTTATTTCAAGTATTAAGCTCTATTTGGCTTTTAAACCCTTTACAACTTGGCCCTTTCTAACCTTTTAAGTCTTCTTACACCTTCCTCCCTACTAGGTACTTCACAATTTGGAGACACTGACCTTCTTGCTATTCTCACACACAATGGTCTACCTCCTTCCTGATTATTTGCTTTTTTTACTGGTTTTCTCTCTTGCCTGGAATGATCTCCTTCCTCACCTCCAGCTCCTGGCTTCCCTCAAAAATCAACGCAAATCTTAATGTCTGCAAAAAGCCTTTCCCAATCCCCCTTAATACTGGTGCCATCCCTCTGAGATTACCTCTCATTTACAATGTATATGTTTACACATAAGACATACATATACATACATACATATGCACATATATATATATAATACACACACACACACACACACACATATATATATGAAATTACATGGTTCCTTACAGTGCGAATTCCTTGAGAGCAGAGACTATGTTCTTACCTCTCTTTGTGTCCCCAGAGCTTAGCACAGTACTTGGCACACAGTAAGAACTTACAAAATACTTACTGATCAACTGAACAATAATCAATGTGATCTTATTGTGAAGTATGGCAGTCTTTCAACCCAATATTTTCCCCAACCACATATGGAATCATATGATTATACACGGAGGGATCAATGCTTTCATTTTACAGATGAGGAAACTGAAATATAAAGTGGTTAAGCATCTTGTCCAAAGTCACAAAGCTAATAAGTGTCTGAGGGAGGATTTGAACCTAGGTTTTGTTGTCTTCAAGTACAATGCCCTATCTACACCAAACTTCCTACTTCTACAACCTTCTACTACAACTTTCGTCCAAAGCTTCCTTATTTTCATACATTTACATGTACTCTTAGCACAATGCCTGGCACATAATAGGCCTTTAATAAATGCTTACTGATTGACTCTAACATTCAAACACACATGCACATTTTTACTTAAAAAACAGTCTCACTCCTGAAAGCACATATATACATGCTCACACACAAGCAACAGGAATAATGTTCATAATCCCCAAACATAAAGCATTCTCAAGGTCTGTTATATGGATGCACAGGTGAATATGCACACACGTATAGATTCCATGCATACTAGAAAAGCAACGGCATTTTCTTTAAAACAAGGCTGTTTGGGGGAGGTTTGAAAGGCACTTAGATGAACTACTGGCAGGAATAAAGACATGAGGGCCACTAAACAATTCCCCTAACAGCCCTTCCTACAGCATTGATTCTGTTCTGCCTATAGAATAGTTCATGTAGATAAATGTCTCCAAGAACTGATGGTAATGTTATTTAAAAATAATGATAATAATGTTAGATAATATTTCAATAGTTCTTCAGTTTTCAAAGGACTTTAAAAACACTATTTCAAAAAAATAAAAAATTTTTTAAAGAAACCACTATTTCACTTCATCTTTAAAACCATATGAGCTAGTTAGTAAAGAGATGATTATCCACAATTTATAGATGATAGAATTGAGAGGTTAAATGACTTGTTCATGGTCACACAGCTAATACCAAGAGAAGTCCTGATATCCAGCTCTCCTGCCTCCAACTATACCATTATCTCTTGTACCTTAGATACTGCAACCCAACACACTCCTTTTTTCAGATAGCCCACAGGATGAAGAAACCAAAAAATCTGCAAATGAGAAGAAACATGTGTTGTTGGACAAAGAAAGGATGTACAAAGTCTTCCCTGGGTCCCTAAGTCTATACAATAATAAACAAACTCCTCAGCCTGTCTTTAAAGTCTAGCATTATCTGGCTCCCATCTATCTTTCCAGATTTATTTCATAACACTCATTTCCATACACTCTATGTTCCAGTCAAACTGACCTACTAACTATTCCTAATTGGACATTCCATCTCCCCTGCCTTTGAACAGATGGTGCCCCACACCTTGAGTGCATGCCCTCCTTACCTCTTATGATCCCTGGCTTCCTTCAAGGCTTCTCCTAGAGCCTTTTCTAATCTCCCCGGTTGTTAAAGTGTTCCATCCCTCTTCAACTTATCTTGTATTCATTTATCCTCAAATGTGTTATATTCTCCCAGTGGAAAGAAACCCCTTTAAAGGTATTATTTGTTTTTGTGTTTTTATACTCAGTGGCCTACCATTACCATATAAAGTAAAAATTTAATAAATATTTGGTTTTTAATTGAATTCACAACTTTTACCCACCTGGTGCTGGTATGCTCTGTTACAGTTCTATGCTCCCTTTCCTTCAGCTAATACTTTCCTACCGTAGTTGAGTCACCCCAACAGTATGGACCCAGTGACAATACACACTTTTAGTTGGCCCCAATTTTGGACTAATAACTTCACTAAAAATATACAGGCACAAAAAATATGAAATTAAACATTGACTACAATGTGTCATTTACCAATTCTGAACATAATGGCTCCACCATTATTTACTTAAGACCTATACTCTATCTGTAAAATGATCTATTCTCTAGGTAGCTTACAGAGGAAAAGGTATATTTATTACTCCTCATTGCCATTTCTAGACTATCAGCATCACTTGGCACCTCCTCCTTTGAGGGTCATTCCATTCACATGTATCACTTATATGACTTCTCACCAGTCATCTACTAGCCTCTACTTCCTCCTTTTTCAGTGAGTTGTACCAAGTTCAGTCTTGCCCTCAAATCCAATTCCAATATTCAAATTGATGTGTCATCAAAAATCCTGGCACCTAATCCACCAGTGTTCTCAAATTTCATGACATTCATTTGGACTCTAACTACTCTATTCCATACCTCAAAAACCCCTCTACATTGCCTCCATTCTCTCCTCCTTAGCATCAGTTTCTAAGAGGTGGCCCTACCCCTTACCAAGAGTGACACATCAGGGGCAGCTAGGTGGCACGGTGGATAGAGCACCAGCCCTGAAGTCAGGAGTACCTGAGTTCAAATCCAGCCTCAGACTAAACACTTGACACTTACTAGCTTTGTGACCCTGGGCAAGTCACTTAACCCCAATTGCCAAAAAAAAAAAAAAAGAGGGAAGACTCCAATTGATGAGATCAGATCCATTTGAGTGTTCCAAATACCTATTTAAAAAAAAAAAAAAGAGTGACACATCTTGGGGCAGGTAGGTGGTGCAGTGGATAAAGCACTGGCCCTGAAGTCAAGAGTACCTGAGTTCAAATTTGGCCTCAGATCAAACACTTGACACTTACTAGCTGTGTGACTTCGGGCAAGTCACTTAACCTCAATTGCCTTTAAAAAAAAAAAGTGACACATCTACTCACATTCTATCATATTTCCCTCCAAGATCTGACACCTTTGATCATTCCTTCTTGCTTTCTCTCACTTTCAATTTACCCTTATCCACTAGTACTTTCCTTGCTACTCACAAATACACCTAAGTCTCCCCCATGTATTAAAAAAATCTTCACTTCACGCTACAATTTCCACCATCACCACTCCCAGACTATCATCCTATAGCTCTTCTCATTTTCACAAGTCCTAGAAAGTCCTTGAAAAAGGTGCTTAGGCAACATTCATTGCCTTTATTTCAACTAACCCTGACCCTCTCACCTTTCAAACTCTTTCAGTCTGGTTTCCAACATCATTCACCTGAAACTGCTCTCATCAAGGTTGGCAACAATCTCTCATCTGCTAAATCTAATTACATTTCTTCAGTGTCCATTCTACTTGACCTGTCTGAAACTGTTAACATTACTGACATCATTCTCTTAGATACCAGGTTTCCTAACACTACTCTCCGTTGATTATCTTCCTATTTGTCTGATCACTCTTTTTCAGTCTCCATTGCTGGATCACCATCTATCTCCTGGCCACTAAGCTTAGATGCCTCCCCAAAGGCTCTGTCCTGGATCCTCATCTCTTATACTTTATATGTATTTCCAAGGATTTTGCGTATTTCTACACAGATACTTCTCAACTATATACAACCAGCTCTAATTTTTTGTC